ACATAAAACTGTTGTACACACACACGCATATGAAGAGAGAGAGTATGCATAGTATGCAAACGGCTACCAAACAGCCATCATAATTTGTCATACAATGAGAACAGGACAAATCAACATTTGACATTGACTAATTAATATTAAAATCTGTAACATAATGTATTGTTTGGAGTTTAGTCTGTTACTGTTGCTATTTTTACCATTTCTTCTTGGAGCAACTGTAACGCACATAATTTCCTTAGGGATTAATAAAGTATTCTGATTCTGATTGTTTCAGGATACATGACCTGCCATTATCCAATAACACATCTGCTTACCTGTATCTTTTTCTCGTTTCTCTTCCTCTTCTTTTCTCTTTTTTCTAAACTGAGGACCTGATGGCTTTGAACTTTTCTTGTCCATCTTCCATTGGTTTTAATTTTGCACTCCAGTATGAACACCCATCCCTCAACCCGAGGATCACCACAACATAATCTAACACACCTACACCTTAGTTCACAGATTCACTTTGTCTAAGGTGCATTTCTGAGATTTCACACAACCCAGGATTCAAATCATGAATACATAATGGACTTGGATTTACAACATTATAAATGAAATGTGCTCTATTTGGAAGCAGCCGGCCCCTCCCCTTTTGACGGGTTGTGTGTGAGACTTTAAATCAACAAACTGTAAATTTTAAATTGTTATTGATCCCTTTACAGTCCTAAAGTGTATATTTATTTTCTTACTCTTCTTATATATATTGTTTGTTTACTTGCACTGTTGTGACTGGAGCCTCGTCGTCTCGTCTCTCTATATACTGTACTGTAGCGGAGATGACAATAAAGTTTACTTTGACTTCTGCAGTAAGCAGGCGCACCGAGGGCTCTCACGCTCACTTTTTGCGTATAGAATTTCGAAAAAACATCGGTGCAAATTATAAGTCTGTATTATAATGTCTGGTGTTTTTGTGTTTCTTGGTTTGTTTTTATTTTGTTTTATTTTGCGAGTTGGTTATTAGATGCTGCTCCAGCCAGTCAGAGTATCCCCCGCGACCCCGCCCTCTCCTCTCTGCGCCGCAAGCAGCAGGTGCACCTCGCAAACGAAGGGCGCCCTTACTCCCAGCAAATGGGCGATAGAAAACCGATCGGTGCCTATGCCATTCCCAATATGCGCTGGCTGACGTCGGGGCAGCATGAGTACGAGCATTTTTATTTTTTTTTGCCAATGCCCGTGATGCCGCCCCCCACCACGATGCTGCCCCGGGCAACCGCCCGTGTCACCCGTATCTAAAACCGCTACTGCTCCCGAGGAATTAATAACGTTTTATTTAATCTAATCTAATCTAATTACTTTAATCTCAGCCAAATCCATTTACTCACGAACAAATAAAACACTGAAAAAGGCCAAACAATAACATGTTTAAGTTGTTTAAGTGACTTGTATATCATGTTTAACCTGAGCAGCATTGTCATAACCCTTGGGGGTTTGAAAACGATGTGCTGGGAATTTGCTGATTTCCCCGGCTCAGATATTTGAAGTTTACACAGCTACATTCTCGCCTGAAAATATGTTAAAAGTTTATTTTGCAACCCAGAAAGAGTAATAAGAGTAATATTAAAACTAAGTAGCTACAGTAGTAGTAGCCATTGTTGGAAACTGGAATTGGCTGGGCCAGTCTGGGATATGGTTTTTCAGTTTTGTTGTCCGGGTGGAAAATCATGAGAAATTCGGGAGAATGGTGGCTCCAGGAGATTTTCGGTAGGGGCACTGAAATTTGGGATTCTCCCAGAAAATCGGGAGGGTTGGCATGTATGCCTCTATACTGCAACCTTAAGATTATGCTTAAAACCCCCAAAAGTTGATTCTGTTCATCTGGACATCGCGTTTTCAGTGTGAGAAACCTTTCATCACTCATCCAGCCTCAGCTAACTGCAGGTTTCCGCAACCTTACAAAGAGTATATAATGACTGAAAGTAGCACCACTGGCGAACAATGGGCTATGAGGTCAGTTTCTTGATCAATAATGTGCAAATTGTCATGACCATTGATGAAAGACCACTGATCAATGGCCATGAGTACCATTCACAGAGAGTTTGGGAATGGCTGCAAAGATGGTCCCCTCTTCTATAGTCACTAGATCACGACCAAACCATGAGAGATGCAGGGTTTTAAACATGAACACTGATAAGGTGGATGGTCTCTCTCCTTTTTAATCCAGGGTCCATGTTTTCCAGCAAGAACCCAGGAACAGTTTTCCACTTTGCCTCTGTCCTTTTGCATAAAGAAGGCAACAGCATTTCTGTAGCCTATTCACATGTGACTTCTTTGCATGGCGAAGCTTTAACCTGCATTTGTGGATACCACAGCAACCTGTGCTCATAGACTGTGATTTCTGGCAGTGTTCCTGAGCACAGTGATGTCCATGATAGAGTGATGTCTGTTTTTAATACAGTGCTGCCCGAGGGTCTGATGATTACAGACATTTGTCCAGATTCTCTTAATCCTTAGACAATATTTTGTTCCGCTTTTTCACTTTTTCATTTTCATTATTATAGTTAGTTTCCTAATTGCAGAAGATAATAACATAAACTTTAAAGGGCTGAACATCACACAGGGTATCAGAAGTATGAAGACACTGTGACGATCAGAGTTAGTATAAGCCTGTACACTCTGAGTAGTTTTTTTATTGCTTTTTATTATTTGATCATGTTTCTCTTTAGTGTTTAGTAGTAGGTATTTTTCAGAATTTCAGTGTAGATGTTAAAATATAAATATTAAAAATTATAAAGATATTTCCTGTATATTTTTATTTTAATTCAGTTAGTTTTATATGTCCCAATCCAGCTAGCACTGGTTTGTTTCATAACTGTTATTATCGTTTTTAAAATGATTTTTCACACCTTGTTTAATTTTTTGGTTAAATTTTAGGTACATGACACACTGAACACAAGTGTCACAGCAAATGGATATTTGCCGCTAAAGTTCAGTAAAAGGAAAGGGACAAAAGAAAGCTGTCACTGCGTCCTTTGTTCCTCAGATCCTCTAAGCTTATACTTGCAAGCATTAGCAATAATTGCAAGGAAAACATGTTTCTTTTTGTGGGATTTCACTTCAATTCTTAAATTAAAAAAATATTTTTTAAAAATTTGACTCTTAAGGGGTCAGGTGAGATTTTATTTCTCAAATTTGGTTGATTATATATGAAATGGCCCAATTGTCATGATTTTCAGTACTCATTTGTAGACTAACATGTGAAAACTCCCAGCAAAGTCATGTTGAACATTTCTGAATTATGTTTTAAGTATGTTTTTGACGTTGCCACCAAAAATGTGTTTTCTGCGTTAGAGAAAAAGAAGCCATGTGTTATTTTGTCCTTTTAATCTGTGCTAGTAATACATGAGTGACTGAAATGATTTTTCATTTCTGATGAAGAGCCGTCAAACGCCTAATTCTTGATCTCTTCTGGTTGTTTTCAGGACCCCTGTGAGGATTAAGAGGCAAGAGGAGAGGTCACAACAACGAAGGGACTTTGCTCGAAATGGAGCAATGTGTCTTGAGGTGTTTCTGTTCAGTGTAAACTACAAAAAGGAAGCAACCACGAGTACGGAGGAACAATCGGCAGACGAGGGAGGTGGTGGTGGAGTGGTGACTTTGTTGTCTAAAAAAAAGGTGTTATGGGTGGGGGGGCATTTGGGATGGCAAATGGAAATGAGAGCAGTGAAGGGCCTGTGGGGCCAATGGCAGCAGTGGTGGCTACTGCAGAAGGCATGGTAGCAGACAGTTCATCCTCCGTTATCTCTACATATATTAAACTGGTGCTACTTGGGCTGATCATATGCATTAGTCTGGTGGGGAACTTGGTGGTTTCTCTGCTTGTACTCCGGGACCAGGCTCTGCATAAGGCACCTTACTATTTCCTCCTGGATCTGTGCCTGGCAGATAGCATTCGCTCAGCTATCTGCTTCCCCTTTGTGCTGGTGTCTATAAAAAATGGCTCAGCGTGGACCTACAGCGTGCTGAGCTGCAAGGTGGTAGCCTTCATGGCAGTGCTCTTCTGCTTCCATGCTGCCTTCATGCTCTTCTGCATCAGTGTAACACGCTACATGGCCATTGCACACCACCGGTTTTACTCGAAGCGCATGACGTTCTGGACATGTGTGGCGGTAGTGTGCATGGTATGGACGCTATCTGTGGCAATGGCATTCCCGCCTGTTTTTGATGTGGGCACCTATAAATTCATTCGGGAGGAGGACCAGTGCATTTTTGAGCATCGCTACTTCAAGGCTAATGACACGCTGGGCTTCATGCTAATGCTTGCTGTACTCATTCTAGCCACACATGTCGTCTACATGAAGTTACTTCTCTTTGAGTACAAGCACCGCAAGATGAAGCCAGTCCAGATGGTGCCAGCTATCAGTCAGAATTGGACCTTTCATGGGCCAGGAGCTACAGGCCAAGCAGCTGCTAACTGGATTGCGGGTTTCGGTAGGGGCCCGATGCCACCCACTCTGCTGGGAATACGGCAAAACTTGCACAACCAGAACCGGCGACTCTTAGGCATGGAGGAGTTTAAAGCGGAGAAGCAGCTTGGCAGGATGTTCTATGTGATCACATTACTGTTCCTGGTGCTCTGGTCTCCCTACATAGTAGCTTGCTACTGGAGGGTGTTTGTCAAGGCTTGCACAATACCACACCGGTACCTCTCCACCACTGTGTGGATGAGTTTTGCCCAAGCGGGAGTCAATCCTATCGTCTGCTTCTTCCTTAATAAAGACTTGAAGAAAGGGCTCCTTTCCCACCTTCCAGCCTGCTGCAGGACTAAACCTCATCTGCCACGAGAGCCTTACTGTGTCATGTAACTAGAGATGATGAAGGAAAAAAAAACAATGGGCAGCCTACAGATGTATTGTATATTGTGCTTGAGTTATTGTGGCATTTGATGCAATGGAAGGTATTATTAAGCAGTGAGTGGCAGCTTGTGAGTGTAGTGTTAAAACACTGGAATGGTAAGCATGTATTTCCATCTGTCAACCAATTTTCACTCTAAATTCAACTGCATACATGAGGTCAGATCTTGACTTTCGATAACAGGAGAAACATACATGTAAATAATATGCAGTCACTGGGAAAACCAAGACAGACAAATAAACTAAGCTTAAGATTTTTAAAAAATGCCATTTAGAAAAGTCTTGAATACAAAGGATGTTGGGCTTGTGACAAACAGAATCCCAAAGGACGTAATAAACCCGCTTTTAGTCGGAATCTTAATGTCATCATCATACTGGAATAACTGATGATTGTCCAGCAGCAGTGGCTGATGAGAGTAAAAAAGTGCTCAGCTAGATTCAAACCAGCATTCGTGTTGACTCACCAGTTTTATTAGAATGTCAGTTTTAGTTCACAACAACATAAAGTTTCCAGAAATACAAACGTTAGTTCCAGAAAAGATGTGGAAGGTTGTTTAATGCATTTAGCTGGTGTTTACATTGTCGCTGAGTCATATTAATCAAGTATCAACAGGTCATTTATGATCAAATGGAGGTACAGTGGACCCCATAAACACCTTTTAGTGCTCCTGTAGTGGTACGGTACATGGCACAGTTCACAACTGAAACATTTTAGATTGACTTAAAAACATGAATAAATAACAAACTGAGACTGGAGAAACCAAGAATTGTTATCCAATCCTCACAACAAAATGCCGTCACATTATAGGGTGTCGATGTGTTTTCAAGTTTCAGTTTTGTGATTTAACCATCAGTGAGAACGCATAAAGATGACGAGGGTGTGCTGTTGAACACAGATTTTAGCAGGATTTGTAAAAGTCAGAATAAAGGGAGCTGCAGAAACATGCTAACAGACTAAAAACCAAAGTAAAACAGGCGCTGCAGAGTAAATGTACCGTAAAGAATTGATGCAGAATCTCAAAGCAGTCAGAAGGATTTTCTTTCCTCAAACACACTGTTTGTTTGCTAGTCACTAAAGCAAACCTTCAATCTGTGTTGCCTAAAACATATTCTCGTTGTTGCTCATTAGCTCAACAGAAAATGTGCAGTAGGGGATGCTTTTCAAGCTTTAAACATTTGCAGATAGAACAATTATTTGTTTTTTCATGTTTTGTTTTTTCCTAAGGACAAATCTGAAGTTACATCTGCATCTGTTACTTGAGCAGCTTCACCTTCATTTTAAAGCAGAAAGACGATTAGCTTTACCAGGCATAGTAACCCAGGATTTTTAACCCTCAAGCGACCAAGCTATTTCAGTTGGTATTCTAATGACCGAGTGTGCTATCAGGAATACTTTTTTATGATTTTGTTTGTGTATTTCACACTAATACTGTTTCCTTTATCCATGTTAGATATTCTGAAATGCTCTATTGTTATCAAGTATTGTTTTCAACCATTTTTATGCAAAAAAGATTTAAAATACATGTTGTACAAACAAAATGACATTTAAACAGTCCTTGTCTGTTATTTCTTAAAATACATACATGAAAAAAAATTTTGGTTTCAGTGATGTTAGAAAAATAATAATAATATGGAAGTGAAGGATGTTTAAGCTATATGAACTATGTGAATGATGTTTTACAATATAGTAAAATAATTTCAACGCCATAATTCTTGTGATCAGTGACAAATTACAGTGCAGAAGTTGGCATAAGGATATCTATTTATTGTTTCATTTTAGTTTGAGACAAAATGTGGGGGATTCTTTATGATCTGAATTATTAGCTCATCTGGATAAGTGTCTGCTGTTAGTAGCCAATTTATTGCTCCTAGGTGGGTCTGTCCTGAGAGTACACGCTGGATGGATCTAACCACTTTAGCCTAGTGGCCAGCGTTTCGAGCCGTTGTTTGGTAGTTTCCAGAGGCTCAATTATGGACAGATTTTTTTTTACTTCTTATCCATTCAGGACGTCTCTCTCATGACACCCTTCTGCACCTCTGTTGACCAACTTATTGATGCGCTCATTTCTAATCCTGTCCACCCTGCTCACTCTCAGTGAAGATCTGAATATATTCAACTCTGCCACCTCCAGCTCAGTGCCTCTGTCTCCAAACCACCACAGCAGGCCTCAACAGCATCTTGTAAACTTTCCTTTCACTCTTGCTCCTATCTTATGTCACAAATAACCCCTGACACTCATCTTGGAACATCCTGCCTGCATTCTCTTCTTCACCTCTCTTTTGCACTCTCTGTTGCTTTGGATGGTTGATGCTAGAAAATAAACTCATCTACCTTAACTACCTCTGCTCTTGTTCACCTTCCCACCCGTCTCACTTTCGTTCCTCATACCTGCTCCCCACTGTCACTACAGATCAGCGTTATCTGCAAATATCATACTTCACACAGATTCCTGCCTGAGCTCAGCTGTCAGCCTGTCCATCACCACTGCAAACAGGAAGGGGCTCAGTGCAGATCCCTGATGTAATCCCAGCCCCACCTTTATCTGTCACTCCTACTGCACACCTCACCACTATCTCACTGTCCCCATTTCCTGCACTACCCTCACATACTTGTCTACTACTCCTGATTTCCTCACGCAGTACCACAGTTCTGCTTTTGGTACCCCATCATCTGCTTTCTCTGAACAACAAAGACACTCCGAAGCTCCTTCTGACCTTCTCATGTTTAACTTCTCCATCAACACTCACATTGCATCTGTAGTGCTCTTTCTCAGCATGAAGCCATACTGCTGTTTGCTGATTGTCACCTCCAGCAGCTCTGTCCTAAATCATCATGGTATGGCCCAAAAGCTCGGTCTCTCTGTAATTACTATGGCTCTGCACTTCACTCTTGTTCTTGAAAATCACTACCAGTACTCTTCTTCACTCTTCTCTCACTTCTTTCCTCCTCTCTGAGATTCTTTATTCATCAGCTCCTCAAAGTACTCCTTCCATCTTTTCAGCTGACTCTTTTCACTCATTTCGTCATTCCTGTGTTGTGTTCCTCACATACAACTCACTATAAACCTTTTTCTTTGCTTTTGCTCTCTCTTTATCGTATGCCTAGGCTCCAATACTCCTGTCTAGTTTTTAAATCTCCCTGACTATCACACTTTTTATTTGCCAACTTCTTCCTTTGAATAATTTACTGTACTTGCTCTTTGCATCACCAAGTCTCCCTGTCCTCTTTCCTCTGTCCAGAGGTTCCATCAAACACCTCTGCAGTTTCCCTCACCACTTCAGTTGTACTTTTGTAGTTATCACCATTCCACCTGATCTTCTGCACACACAATATATCTACCTTCCTTCTCTTCATCATATCAGCCAACTCTCTCCCATTACCAGTTCTATTCCCTACATTTAGAGTAACAATAATACATTTTATTCATAGGCTCTTGTCAAGACATTCATTGAGACCTTATAAACCATTAAATACCAAAGTCACAGTAGAGTCCCTACTCTCTCCACATTCCTGCCTATTCTTCTTTCCTGCTGCTTCCTAACCTATCCCCTCTCCTCTTCCTTTGCCTTCAGCTAACAGTTTCCACTGGCACTACTTGTTACTTCATATCATTATATTCATTTTGACAGTTACTTTTAATTTTCACAGAACTGCATACAGTCCTGTAAAGGTTTTGGTTACACACACAAACACGCTACCGGTTTAAAGTTGTAGAACACCCTAGTTTTTCCAGGTTTTTATTGAAAATTTTGCGGTTTAATGTCTTATTGCACACTGAAATGAAATGAATGTAATAACAAAATCAATTTATAGACCAAAATGTATTCTAAACTTTTGACTCATCAAAGTAGCACCTGATATAACAGCTGAACACAGTCGTGGCTTCTTTCTACAATAGAAATCGAATATTCTCCCATATCTGTAGCAGAAGTTCCCATAAATGTGGACCTTGTAGGTTGCTTTGCTTTCACTCTTCTGTCCAGTTCACCCAAAACCAGCTCGATGGAGTTTAAGTCTGGAGACTGTGCTGGACACTCCATGTTTTCAAGCTCACCATCTTGTTCTTTGTTCCTGAGGTAGTTCTGGCATAGTTTGGACAATATGTTTTGGGTCATTATCTTGCTGTAGGATGAATCCCTGACCAACTAGGTGCATACCAGAGGGTCCTGCATGGTGCTTCAGAATGCTGTGGTTTTGGTTCAGGGAGCCTCTCACTCTTTACAAGTCACCGACCCTGGATCCAGCAAAACAGCCCCAGACCATCACACTTCCTCGTCCATGTTTAACGGTTGATACCACACACTGTGGAACCATCCTTTACCTACATGACGGTGTACAAAGATCCTGTGTGATGAACCAAAGGTTTCAAATGTTGATCCATCAGTCCATAATACCTTCTTCCAGTCTTCAGTAGTCCAATGGTGGTGTTTCATGTCCCAGCCAAGCCTCTTTGTCTTATTCTGACGTCTGGCTTTCTTGCTGCAACTCGTCCTGTCAAACCTGCAGCTCAAAGTCTTCTCTTCACAGTTGAAACTGAGTCTTTCTTACTAATACCACTGTTAAGCTGTGCATGAAGCTGTTGTCCTGTCAGCCGCCTATCACACAGCTGTTAACTCTCAGAAACTTGTCCTCTGATTCAGTCGTGTCTTTGGGTCCTCAGACCTCTTCCTGTCACAGTTTGTTTCTGAGCCTTTGGAAGGTGAAGGAAACTGTACTCACTGACACCTTGACTCTCTTTGCGGTTTCTGCATTGGGGCGATCGTGGCTCAAGAGTTGGCAGTTTGTCTTGTAATTGGAAGGTTGCCGGTTCGAGCCAACTGGACTGACAGTCTCGGTTGTTGTGTCCTTGGGCAAGACACTTCACCTACCGCCTACTGATGATGGCCAGAGGGGCTGATGGCGCAATATGGCAGCTTCGCTTCTGTCAGTCTGCCCCAGAGCAGATGTGGCTACAACTGTAGCTTGCCTCCACCAGTGTGTGATTGTGAGAGTGAATGAATAGTGGAATTGTAAAGGGCGTTGAGGGTCTCGAAAAGCCTATATAAATGCAATCCATTATTATTATTATTATTTCTCTGTAGGACAGACCGACATTTATAAGTGTTATGATGGTCTGTCTCTCTTCCATTGTTAATCGCCTTTTTCTCACCATTTGTGTACCATCACACTACTTTCTGCAGTACAATACTGTTCAACTGATGCTCACGAGGGTATGGTACCACAGTGTGTTCCAACACTGCTTATATGCAGACAGAGGGGGAAGTAATCCAGAAAAGTTGGAACAGCTGTAGGAATTAGTAGCTCCAGCTTCAAGGCTTGATCAAGCTCCATTGTTGCAGAACAGCTTTAAATTGTTAATCCATTTTGTGCTCCTGAAAAAGGCCTTTTTGCGTAATTCTGAAATGTACATTATTTCGGGGAACCTTACCTTTTTTTTTTTTAAACCTCTGGCAGTTCACCACTTACCTTTGTACCATTTCAAGCTATTCATTGTACTTGAACGACTTGAATTGCAATAAATAACTGGATAAATTAGGTTGTCCTAAAACTTTTGATCAGTAGTGTGTATATAAAATCCCACTCACTCTGCGGACCGTCTTTATCCTTCAAGCTAGGGTCTTGTACCAGAACCCTGGGATCTTTAGGGTCCTGCACAGTACATGTGCTGATCCTAGGACTGCGCCCTTCTGAACAGAGACCTCACATCTGTTTCCAGGGATCTGCTGAAGCCACTCCCCCAATTTAGGGATCACTTTCCCAAGTGTTCCAATTACCACAGGGACTGTTCCCTTCACCCTCCACATCTTTTTGAGCTTCTCTCTCAGACATTGGTATTTCTCCAGCTTCCCATGTTCCTTCTTCCTGATGTAGCTATTACTTGGTATAACTATATTTCATTACAGCCATCTTCCTCTTGGTTAGCCATCACCAGTTTTTCCATCTATACCTGGAAGTCCCATATGATGTTAGCTCGGTCATTCTCCACCACCCCAGGGTGTGTACCCCATTTTAACCCTGGGACCTTCCAGGCCATGCTTGGCACAGATGTTCCTGTATACTATTCCAGCCACTTGCTTTTGGCGTTCCATGTATGCCCTGGCTGCTAGCATCTTGCACCCTGCTGTTATGTGCAGGATTGTCTCGGAGGTATCTTTGCACAGCCTGCACCTGGGGTCTTTCCTGTTGTGGTAGACATTAGCCTTAATCGATCTTTATGGAAAATGTAAACATTTTTAGAATGAAAAAAACCACAGTGTGACAAACCCTGAGGCACTAGGTTCGTCAGTTAATCTACTTGGTCACTTGAAGGTTAAAATCGCAATCAGGAGGTAGTAACTCAAAAGTGAAATTTTATTCATTATTTCTTATGTTTAAAAATATAGAACAAAGTCACTATTTTAGTTGCAATGCTGAGTTATCAAGGACACCCATTTAAACACAGGACACAAAGTCATAGCAAGTTGGCATGCTAAACAAGAACATTCCTCTCTTCGTGGGGTTTGCATGTTCCTTCTCTGCCTGTCTGGGTTCCCTTGGAGCACTCTGGCATCTTCCCACATTTAAACACACGAATGTTAGGTTAATTGAGGATTCTAAATTGCCCACATACAGCATGTGGGAACGATAAAGTGCTTGATGTATATTTAAAAATGTGTCATATGAATGTATGCTATGAATGAAAAGTGCTGTATAAATGTTAGTATCACTAGTCACTTCATATCCCTATTTTCGTTTTGACAAAAAAAAGATAAAGATACAAACAGTGTCAGCATCCACTTTATATTTATATTGCAAAACTGATTGGATCTAATAGTCATTCATTACTTTTTTCATCATTACAAGAGAGCGTACACTGGAAGACATAGCTATTGTTTTATTTTTGCCTAAATCTAGATAAATCAATTAAACTATGCGTCTTCTGCAACTTTTTACAACTTATGAAGGTGGAAAGAGATCATAGGGCAGAGGTGTTGTCAGTGCATGTCTAAAATCACGGCATGCCGTTAAGCCTGTGAGGGTAAAAAGCGTGTTTGTGGTTAGCCCTTTGTTTCTGTCATGGCATATGGCCTTACTTCCATACAAACACCAAACCAATGCAACTGAGTAGCCAAGAGTATAAAAATGTTTCTTCTTCTGAAGTTATTGAGCAAGGAAAGGGAATACTCTGGGCACTTGCACTTTCCATCAAAAGCTGGAGGAGTTACCAGCAGAAAGTGAGAGCATCAAAAATGAAAAGTGACTTTTCTATTGCAACTTGTTGATACGAATGAGGTCCAATCTGGTTTGTTGCAGTTTTTCTATGTTGTTCTCCTTTGGAATATCAACCCGTGGAATGAAGGGGAATGATTGCTCTTTCCATTTCCATTTTTGACAAAGCCACAGGAAAGTGTGCATCATGTCTGTTTTTAATTGCCTTGGGCAGATTATCTTTTGCAAATTTACTATGACTTCTGAACTATTTGGTGTGTATTATACTGACAGGTAACTTTGAAATGCAGCGAAAAAGCTCTTGATTATCTTAGTTTTGTTGTGTGTGTGTGTGTGTGTGTGTGTGTGTTTATTTCTATCAGCAGGTGTGAATGGGTGTATGTGTAATGTATTGGTTGCATGGATGTAATAGGAAAGTCACAAAGGAAACACATACCGTATGCATAGTGCATTTCAGAAATATCACTTCTGCGAATTCTTTCTCAGAACTTCTCTGTTGACCTTTTTCCTGTCACAAAGATATGAATGTGTTTTCAAACCAATGACTTTTAAGTCCTTTTTCAAAACATGCAATTAATTGAATGTTTTTTAGTTTTTGTTTGTTTTTTGTTTGTGTATGTATCTAGGAAAAATCTATGAAGCTTGAGCTCAAGATCAAGCATCCAGTCATTCCCAGTGCACAAATCTGGCCTTATCCTGAATGTTTAATTATAAAGTAAAGTCATTTTCAACTAGAATTCTAAAATATAGACATGGCATCACTTTTACATCAAAAAGGGGTCAAAAGGTTGCTATCTTTGAAAGATGACCCCAAATTATCCTGATTGGTTCTTCTTCATATCTTGCAATTAAAATACTTAAAGGCTGTAAAAGGATTTTTCTTCTGACCACCACAAATCATGTGGCACAGTGGTTGGTTTCCCATGTTCTGTATTTAAAAGAGGAAAAATAGGTGATTGAGCCATATGCATGTCTCTGGCAAGTTATGATTTCTGTTGTTGGTTTTGTAATGAGAATAAATTATATACTTGAAACAATGAGAACATGGTTATGATTATGAGTAGTTGGTATCAACACAGTTTGCTCTGATGTGATGATTTCATACTGTGCTCAGCTTTGCTATAGCTGACGAACAGTGATGGTGGTGATCATCGTGGGCAGCACAACTGTTCTGACAGTTCATCAAAAACTATAAAAAACAGCAAATATTTAGTTTCATTTGCTGAGAATTTGTGTTTTAAGCTAACTTCTACACTTTGTTCAGCTAATTGTTTAAAACCTCCAAAAATGTGAGTCCTAATATGGAGTGGTAAAACTCGCCTGTAAGTGATGTAATCATATCCTGTTCCCGAAATTGGTTTCATCTGCTCAAAGTTTGTCTTTGTTGGGTTTTTTTTTTTTTTTTTTTTGAGAGCTGTGCTTTTACATATTTTTCTGTTCTTTAGTGTAGCCAGTGGTTTCCATCTTGCACTGTGAATTCTAGTAGCTTTGCTGACTTATATAACTCAACTTTAACAAAGGTTAAATTAACTTTTGTTGATCTGTGGAACCAGCACCCCAACACAGGAAGTCTGAATCAGCTCTCTGTTTAAATAGTTTGTTCTCTGATCCTAGGAGTATTATCGAGTAGGCAGCACTAAGCTTGGATGGAGCTGATGGGCAAGGGAACTCGCCCAGTTTATTCTGCCTCTGTCCTCCGGATGTCTACCCCACCTATTCGGATAAAAAAAAAAAAAAAAAAAAAAGAACATAGCGAGTACCCTTGCAGGCCCTGTCATCTACCAGCCACGCGTGTTCCAGTAACTCCCCTATAGACCAGTGCTTTTTGAATATGACTAGGTTTAATTCAGTGGCCTCAAGGGAACACTAATCAGCCAAGGGTGATCATGTGATCGTGTGTGATCATGTCTACACACAAAAAATCCAGACACTAGAATAATTTTCATTACTCAAACTAAATTTCTCATCAATCATATTAATTAGATTTATACTTTTATTATATTTTTGATTAATAATTAAAGACACTTTACTATTGGATGGTCAATTTCTGTTTTGAAGAATAATAAAGTAAGTTATCAAATTGGTAATAAATGTGTTTCAGTCTGACACACAGGCAACATTATCTGACCTTTAAAAAGTTAACTTTCAAAATAACTGTGTTGCACAATTATCTTGTTCACATATAAAACTGTGTTGGATGGATTTGCTGGTGCATGTTTAGCAGTAAAGATTAGCTGTCCTTGCCACTGTTCCAAAGGATTTTGGATTGTTTTGGGAACTTGCTGATTGTTGTACATGTTTGAACAGAAATAATAGGCATGTCAGAGTACCCAGAAGGAACCCGCGCATTCACGGTGAGAACATGAAAACTCCAAACAGAAAGGTCCCAGCCAGAGGCTGGGTTTAAACACAGGGCATTCACCGTAAGATAAACCCATGTTTTATTCACTATAGAACCCA